TAATAAATAAAATAATATGTATTCCACTTATATCCCATTGGCCTGTATGTAATATATAGAAATATTCTCACATGGACCAGAGAAATAAGAGTGACTGAAAACATGAGCAACCATCAATGCAATTACGGAATGATGACTTCGAATCACTGAACGAGATCACCTAAACACCTTCAATCAGCTCTCATGACAAGCAGGCAATGGAATGAGACTCTTAGACCCCAAAGCAAGACATTGAACATGCCGGGTAACTGTAGACATGCCTCTTCTCTTATCGATGTGAATATTCACAACTGCATTCCTGACTGACCTTATTTTGCATCACAAGTACAGGGTAACTCTGATTGAGCTGAAGGCATTAGTGAGATACCTGCACCTCTCTGAGTCTTCCAGGGAGGACTGATACGGAGTACTGTGGGGAAGGACCGGCGCCAAGAGGTGGGGGAAGGACCGGCGCCAAGAGGTGGAGGAAGAATGGGAAGACTGATGCTGAAGGAAACTACGAGTGAGTGAGTGAGTGAGTATGGTTTTACGCCGCTTTTAGCAATATTCCAGCAATATCACGGTGGGGGACACCAGAAATGGGCTTCACACATTGTACCCATGTCGGGAATCGAACCCAGGTCTTCGGCGTGACGAGCGAACGCTTTAACCACTAGGCTACCCGACCGCCCCCTGAAGGAAACTACGAGAGGCCATTGGCAGTTTGATCTCCAGTGACAGTTTGATGTCAGAGAAATCCATGATGTTGGATATGTGAGCTGAAAGCTATGTGATGGGGTTGAAAGATGAACTCTGAGGATGGTGGGAGGATGAGAGACGATCCAATAGCTGCCAGGACAAATGGGAGTAAATCGGTGTATTGGATATTGGAAAAGTAGGGAACATAGATTTGGGATGTGTGGGATGGTGAGATAATTCAAACATGTGTTACCAAGAGCAAGTTATTACTTAAGAGACCAGTTTCAGCATATGTCAGTAACATAACATCACAGAAGGTGACTCCATGAATGGCTGTTACACATTTTACCCTCATGGGTATTTTACGTGACTGAGGAATACATTTGTAAAGGGGTTGGGCTGCTAGATTGAGGAATATATCCATGTAGGGATTGAGGGTTGGGTTGCAAGATTGAGGAATATATCCATGTAGGGATTGAGGGTTGGGTTGCTAGATAGAGGAATATATCCATGTAGGGATTGAGGGTTGGGCTGCTAGATTGAGGAATATATCCATCTAGGGATTGAGGGTTGGGCTGCTAGATTGAGGAATATATCCATCTAGGGATTGAGGGTTGGGTTACAAGATTTAGGAATATATCCATGTAGGGATTGAGGGTTGGGTTGCAAGATTGAGGAATATATCCATGTAGGGATTGAGGGTTGGGTTACAAGATTGAGGAATATATCCATCTAGGGATTGAGGGTTGGGCTGCTAGATTGAGGAATATATCCATGTAGGGATTGAGGGTTGGGCTGCTTGATTGAGGAATATATCCATGTAGGGATTGAGGGTTGGGCTGCTAGATAGAGGAATATATCCATGTAGGGATTGAGTGTTGGGTTGCCAGATTGAGGAATATATCCATGTAGGGATTGAGTGTTGGGTTGCTAGATAGAGGAATATATCCATGTAGGTATTAAGGGTTGGGTTACAAGATTGAGGAATATATCCATGTAGGGACTGAGTGTTGGGTTGCCAGATTGAGGAATATATCCATCTAGTGATTGAGGGTTTGGGCTGCTAGATAGAGGAATATATCCATGTAGGGATTGTGGGTTGGGTTGCTAGATTGAGGAATACATGTATATCCATGTAGAGATTGAGGGTTGGGCTGCTAGATAGAGGAATATATCCATGTAGGGATTGAGGGTTGGGTTGCCAGATTGAGGAATATATCCATGTAGGGATTGAGTGTTGGGTTGCCAGATTGAGGATTATATCCATGTAGGGATTGAAGGTTGGGTTGCTAGATTGAGGAATATATCCATGTAGGGATTGTGGGTTGGGTTGCCAGATTGAGGAATACATGTATATCCATGTAGAGATTGAGGGTTGGGCTGCTAGATAGAGGAATATATCCATGTAGGGATTGAGGGTTGGGTTACAAGATTGAGGAATATATCCATCTAGTGATTGAGGGTTTGGGCTGCTAGATAGAGGAATATATCCATGTAGGGATTGTGGGTTGGGTTGCTAGATTGAGGAATACATGTATATCCATGTAGAGATTGAGGGTTGGGCTGCTAGATAGAGGAATATATCCATGTAGGGATTGAGGGTTGGGTTGCCAGATTGAGGAATATATCCATGTAGGGATTGAGTGTTGGGTTGCCAGATTGAGGATTATATCCATGTAGGGATTGAAGGTTGGGTTGCTAGATTGAGGAATATATCCATGTAGGGATTGTGGGTTGGGTTGCAAGATTGAGGAATACATGTATATCCATGTAGAGATTGAGGGTTGGGCTGCTAGATAGAGGAATATATCCATGTAGGGATTGAGGGTTGGGTTGCTAGATTGAGGAATATATCCATGTAGGGATTGAGGGTTGGGTTGCAAGATTGAGGAATATATCCATGTAGGGATTGAGGGTTGGGTTGCTAGATTGAGGAATATATCCATCTAGGGATTGAGGGTTGGGCTGCTGGAAAGAGGAATAAATCCATGTAGGGATTGAGGGTTGGGTTGCCAGATTGAGGAATATATCCATGTAGGGATTAAGGGTTGGGTTACAAGATTGAGGAATATATCGCTGTAGGGATTGAGGGTTTTGGTTGCTAGATAGAGGAATATATCCATGTAGGGATTGAGGGTTTTGGTTGCTAGATAGAGGAATATATCCATGTAGGGATTGGGGGTTGGGTTGCTAGATAGAGGAATATATCCATCTAGGGATTGAGGGTTGGGTTGCAAGATTGATGAATATATCCATGTAGGGATTGAGGGTTGGGTTGCTAGATAGAGGAATATATCCATCTAGGGATTGAGTGTTGGGTTGCAAGATTGATGAATATATCCATGTAGGGATTGAGGGTTGGGTTGCTAGATAGAGGAATATATCCATCTAGGGATTGAGGGTTGGGTTGCAAGATTGAGGAATATATCCATGTAGGGATTGAGGGTTGGGTTGCAAGATTGAGGAATATATCCATGTAGGGATTGAGGGTTGGGCTGCAAGATTGAGGAATATATCCATGTAGGGATTGGGGGTTGGGTTGCTAGATAGAGGAATATATCCATGTAGGGATTGAGGGTTGGGTTACAAGATTGAGGAATATATCCATGTAGGGATTGCTGGTTGGGTTGCTATAGATAGAGGAATATATCCATGTAGGGATTGAGGGTTGGGTTGCTATAGATAGAGGAATATATCCATGTAGGGATTGAGGGTTGGGTTGCAAGATTGAGGAATATATCCATGTAGGGATTGAGGGTTTTGGTTGCTAGATAGAGGAATATATCCATGTAGGGATTGAGGGTTGGGTTGCCAGATTGAGGAATATATCCATGTAGGGATTGAGGGTTGGGTTGCAAGATTGAGGAATATATCCATGTAGGGATTGAGGGTTGGGTTGCAAGATTGAGGAATATATCCATGTAGGGATTGAGGGTTTGGTTGCTAGATAGAGGAATATATCCATGTAGGGATTGAGGGTTGGGTTGCAAGATTGAGGAATATATCCATGTAGGGATTGAGGGTTGGGTTGCAAGATAGAGGAATATATCCATCTAGGCATTGTGGGTTGGATTGCTAGATTGAGGAATATATCCATGTAGGGATTGAGTGTTGGGTTGCAAGATTGAGGAATATATCCATGTAGGGATTGCGGGTTGGGTTGCAAGATTGATGAATATATCCATGTAGGGATTGAGGGTTGGGTTGCTAGACAGAGGAATATATCCATCTAGGGATTGAGTGTTGGGTTGCGAGATTGAGGAATATATCCATGTAGGGATTGAGGGTTGGGTTGCAAGATTGAGGAATATATCCATGTAGGGATTGAGGATCTGGCTGCTAGGCTATAGAGTGTATTAAATAATATATGTAGGATCTGAAAAAACGGTATGTAAGGACTGTTAAATAACTTTCCAATCTACAACATTACATATCTTGCAAAAAACACTATGTTACAGAAATATGTCAGAACATTAGGATCACATTGCAACATTGTCACACTGTCACTTCATTATCTATCAGATTTATACAATTACCTGCCGAAGATGATCAGATTTTAACAAGTCAAATTCTATTTCAAATCACATTCACATTAACCTTTTTCTTAAAACATAATATCAAAGTTAATGCATCATCTGTACATGATAAGATTAAAAAACTGAACTATATTTCCTATATGGGACCACATTTCACATCAATTAAGGTCCATTTGGCACGACAATGGTCGTATTCAAACACTTCATCTTCATTGTAAAAGCATTAACCCACTAACGTATCATGTTTCTCACATTTGTAGCTTTGCAATGTTGACAAAAATATGTATATGTATTTGAAAATACCAGTTATTTAATTTAATTGCACGAATATCATCAGAAGAAACTGTATTTAAGCAACATTAGGAAACAGTAATGATTGTATAAAAGGAATCATTGCACAATCTCAGATACATAATGTTCAAATGTAGAATAATGCTTGTATTTTGTAGATTAGTAACCCAATACAACACGACATTATCAAGATTGAACAACACAATAGCTCTTCATCTGTAAACTGCCATGTATAGTGGAGATCATCTTCAAGAGTTTTTTCAGAGTATTTGTCATTCTGTCATTCCTCTAACATATCACATGCAACTATTTAATGATCAAAATAGATTTAAGTGTTATTAGAGAGAGATATATCCTCAGATCTGATGAGAACCTCAGATATCCTGACCCAACTGTTGACAGCTTGTTTGTGTGAAAATGGCCACTGCCATTGTTGGATGTCATGACACATAGCATTTTCACATGGATTACAAAACAGTCAGAGAATCTACTCACCTCAATTTGGCTTTATCATAATGGTTAAGAGGTTAAATGGAGTTCAGTATTGAATAAAATGGCTTGTCCATTTCTCCCAGTGCACTTCCGCTTCACAAGCCTGGTACACGAAGGCAATGCTAAAAATAGATTCTGCCTCAAACAGGTGTTGACACAAACTGTTCCCTGTGAAAGTAGGGCAGTAGTGTTAAATGAATATGGTTCAGGTGATGCTGGGACGCTGGGACGCTGGGATGCTGGGACGCTGGGATGCTGATTATGATGAAATTATCAACTTTTTCAACTGATGATTGTTCATGTTACCTTTTATTTAAAGATAAATTAATTTTCTGTGCATTGTTTTAATACACCCAAACTATAAATTCAAATTAACACAACCAAAAACCTTCACACAACCTACCAGCATACTTCACTATAAACAAAACACTTTAGCTGTTTACACTTATTTAAAGGGTAGATCGGGTAGCTTAGTGGTTAAAGCGTTTACTCATCACGCCGAAGGCATGGGTTTGATTCCCCACATGGGTAAAATGTGTGAAGCCCATTTTTGGTGTCCCCCGCCGTGATATGGCTGGAACTTTGCTTAAAGTGGTGTAAAACTATACTCACTCACACTCACTCACTCATTGAAACCATTCAAGGAAATCAAAAGATAGAATTGTCTGAGGATGTTACTATGCAACTTTTTTTATTTTTGTTTTTAAAGCACAAGCCTTCCCTAAATAAATGGCAGTAGTCTGAGACGTATGGTTGTACACTTACACATTCATTAATATTAACACGTGAATCTAATTTATTAAATCTCTTCAATAATGCATGATACAAGTGCCAATCTCAACAGCCTCATGGTAATTCCCATTCCAATAACCTATGTTTGTTGTATACATAAGAGTTGACTTGAAAGGACATGGTGGTCAGGCTCTGTGACTTTATAATGTAAATATTCAGGCCCAGGGATGCAGGTTAGGGACAAACTCCAGAATGCTCATATCAAGGAAAACTTCGGGCAGAGTACAAATGCAGGCTTAAGAAAATCGGGAGTTCAGAGCTGAATGCTCGCAATAAAGTTAAAGCCACAAAATGGGGCAGTCAGGTAGCCTAGTGGTTAAAGCATTCGCTCGTCATGCTGAAAACCCGGGTTCGATTCCCGACATGGGTACAATGTGTGAAGCACATTTCTGGTGTCCCCTGCCGTGATATTGCTGGAATAGTGCTAAAAGTGGCGTAAAACCATACTCACTCACTCATTTTATTATTTCGTGGAACAAGGACTGGTCGGCTCGGAGTCAGTACACTGTGTCTGAGTGGGGTATTCATGTTAAACTGCGGCATGGTCTCACAGCACTATAAATCGGCATCAGTCCGGACTAGTACAAGCAGCCACACACACACATGCATGCACATCGCTATAAAGTGCAATAATCTTGGATACAACGTTAAACCCCATTTCACCTCACCGCACCCTAGCAGATAAATGAAATTTGGTTGTTTACAAGTTTAACATGGGTACAATGTGTGAAGCCGATTTCTGGTGTCCCCCGCTGTGATATTGATGGAATATTGCTAATAGTGGAGTAAAACCATACTCACTCACTCACTAAAGCCACAAATACCCGTCCTTTCATATTCTTTTGGTGCTGTTGACGAAACAAGAAATTCCTCTTGTCTTTTGTTCAAAAGAACAAATTAAAAACCATATAGAAGACATCAAAAGAGCAATTTAAAATTCTTAATCTCTGAAGGTAAAATTTGAGATTTGGACAGAAAGAAAGAGAAAGTAGGATAAGAAAAATAATTTCATAAAACAAAATAAACTGTTGAAACTAATGTAAAACAGTTTTACAAGCAACTAGATGCAACTAATGGCAGTGATGAAACAATACCCACCATGGTTTCCAGTGAAAGGTTTTGGAAACTGTAACCTCGAGGAACCATGGGTAGAGGATAACAATAATAATGTTCATGACAAAATTTAGTCACCATTGTTGTGTTTCATTACACCTGATTGCAGCTCGAATCAATGTTTTTGTGAATTGCAAGATTTATTTTGCAACAAAATTCTTCACATAAGCCCAAATCAACTCATTTGGGTTTAATTCTTCATGGAAATATGGTTGTTTTCTTGTTTAACGCCGCACTCAGCATTATTCCAGCTATATGACGGCGGTCTGTAAATAATCGAGTCTGGACCAGACAATCCAGTGATTGACATCATGAGCATCACCATGCAATTGGGATCGATGACATGCATCAACCAAGTCAGCGATCCTGACCACCCGATCCCTTTAGTCGCCTCTTACTCATGGTAAGGAGGTAGACACAGAACAGCATGTCCATGTTGTATTAACACGGTATGTACTCGGTACATGTCGTCAAACACAATATTATGCCTTGGCAGCCATGCTTTTATTTCACCATTTGCATGTACAGTAAACTACGGTTATAACGAACTCAAAGTGACCACTAATTTTAGTTTGTTATATCCATCATTCGTTATTTGCATTTTGACCGTCAGACATCTTTTTTCAAGTCATGTGACGTCATGTTACTCGATAAATAACAAAAGTTTGCACTGTACATGTACAGAATATATCCACTTCAATCACTGTGTTACTATTGTTAATTGAGGGTGTAATTTGATGACAAGGTGTCAGTGATTGAGAGTAAATGAGTTGCCTTCAATTGTTTATTGCCGCTTTGAACAGCCATGCTTGGCTGAGGATGTTTTGATAGGTAGATTGGTGTGTGTGTGTGTGTGTGTGTGTGTGTGTGTGTGTGTGTGTGTGTGTGTGTGTGTGTGGCTGCTTGTAATAGTCCGGACTGATGCCGATTTAAAGTGCTATCACACTGAGATACCATGCAGCAGTTTTACATGAATACCCCACTCAGACACAGTATACTAACTCTGAGCCAACCAGTCCTTGTTTTAGCCCCTTAATGCCGAGCACCAGACAGGGTAACAACAAGTACCATCTTTTAACGTCTTTTGGTATGACGCGGCCGGGGATCGCACCCCGGATCTTCCGCTCTACGGGCGGACGCTCTACCACTAGACCACGGAGGCGGTCTATCGTTGAAAGAGTACATACGGGACCACAAGGTGAGTTCGCTATATCCGTAATATATAAGTGTGTTCGTTATAAGATAAAATATATAGCAAATGGCCTGGACCAAAAGAACAGTGTTTTATATCTGTCAGTTCGTTATAAGTGTGTTCGTTAAAAACATAGTTTACTGTACTATTGTCAGCCGAGTTCCGGCCCTGGACCGGGGTTGAACCCCACCCATAGCCATAGCACCCTCCAACTCCGACAGTGTGGTGCACAGGCAACCACGTTTCATCAATAAAGATGACTGGCCGGTTCTCATCTCAATACTTTTTATTGCACGTTAGTACTGCCTGCGATTTGCAACAATGTCTTTCCGTTCAATTAACTGCATTTTACGCCATCTAAATCCCATATGTTTTTCAGATAACTTTAAGCTTTCTCTTGAACGCTCGTAATTCAAATCAGTTTTGATCATGTCATAGATACTGTCTAGAGTTAGCAGTTGTTTTCGTACCACATATGAATTGTGTACAAATTGACTAACAGTGTGTAGCCGGGGTAGTGGTTATGATCTGGCTTAGGCCGTTGGAGAACACAGACACAGGCAGATGATGATAATGTGTTGGGGTTAACCTCTTTGGTCATGTGGACAATGCGTCCGACCTCGGATCAGAAGGTCCGTGGTTCGAATCCCATCACGAGACTCGGAAATTTTATGGCCGCTACATTGGCGCCCAACGTGGGGCTGAGCACTTTCATATTATATTTGAGCAAAATAAGCCTCAGTACCCTACTATGCGGCCCGGGACGTGCCTTCTGTTGACGGGGGAGTATGTAGCAGGGCGTGGAGTCATCCCACAGATGACATCCTTACCTTGTCAGCTTGCTGACAGGGTTAACCTCTTTGATCATGTGGACAAGGCGTCCGACCTCGGATCAGAAGGTCTGTGGTTCGAATCCCATCACGGGACTCGGAAATTTTATGGCCGCTAGAAGTGCACTGGTCAAAATCATAAAGTTGGGATTTGATCACTGGACGTTTTCACGAAGTACTTGGGCTAACTACTCTAACCTTTGTCACAAGCGATACCTTCTGCTCTGATGAGCTTTAGCGTAGATACAGACCGACCAGAGGCAATGCTACCTTTTGACAAAGCTGTGCATTATTAGTACATTCTTTCTCCGTGTAATTTATGACATCATAGACCAATTCTCGAGCCTGAAAATATATGATTTGGCCATTCTAACCTAGCTTTGACATGCTTCCTGTATACAGTTCTCCCTATCACACAGTGTTGGACATTGTTCATAATACCAATCACTTATAAGGTGCTGACAAACCTAGAAACATAATCGGGGCCAACCAGGATTCAAACCCACATTCATTAATTACAATTTTATTCACAATTCACATTTATTAATCACAATAAGCTGCAGTTTTTTTAAATGAGGGCCTGAAGAGTTCACTCTGGGCTTGCAGCGTCTAAAGTCTGTGGGTCCTCATTGTAGCCTGGCAGTTTATTATATTTCAACACTGGGTGGCAGCCATCACAAACACTTGCAAAGGTAAGGCAATTATTCACGTAAAAAAACATGGGAAGTCAAATAGGGAGTTGAATCATACGTGGTTTTTGTCACTGATGCGTCAAATTTGGAAATATCCTCCATATGTTTACCCTAAAACTTTTTGAAAACTTTCTGAGACCTTGATTGTTGCAACCTTGATCAAACAACTTTTGAGCGAGAGTTGTGTGATACTCTTTGAAATCTTGGAAGAAAGAGCATGCTCCATTGTATCTCAAAAGTTTTTGAAAACTTTTTGAGACCTTGATTGTTGCAACCTTGATCAAACAACTTTTGAGCGAGAGTTGTGTGATACTCTTTTAAATCTTGGAAGAAAGAGCATGCTCCATTGTATCTCAAAAGTTGTGAAATGTAGACATCAAAGACAGGAGCTGCTGGAATATTGCTCTACATGAAGGGAATGTTGACTATTGGAAAGTTGAAGTCATCCCTCTTGTCATACAGTCTTGTGGAGATCGTCTTGTCAGTCTGAATCTTTACGCAGATGAGACGG